ACAGGCGATCGTTTTGTACTGAACCGATATCTGTCTAGAATGTTTAGATATTCCCCTTACCCAAACATATCTCTCAATAAGGGTTTGTTAATTATTCTGTTTTCATTAATTGGGAGATGATTTGGCCAGCCTGGGTTTATGTGGCGAAGACATACCTGATCATGCAGAACTAATAAGCATTATTTGCAAATGAGGCTCACAAGGAAACAAGCAATGCAAATAAACGACTTCCTGGAGTGTGCCCGACGCTGTTTAAGTTATTTATCATATATACAACATTTCTGGTAAACAACCACCACTCATCTACTGATGAGGCAAGATAATAAAATCCGGTGTTCCACAAGTGCTGTCCTCTCTGCTTTTCTTTTTTCTTTCTTCCTTCATGACCTGCCTCATTCAAACGATACTTTGTTAAATATGCAGATGATCTGACTGTATCACTGCCTATCACTTCTGAGTCTGACAGCTCGAAACTTAATAGCTTTCTGTTGGACATCAACAAGTGGTCCAAGTCAAATGGTCTTATATTAAATCCTTCCAAATGTCAGGCATTTGACTTTACTTTCAAGCATCGACGTGACTTACTTGAACTAGTTAGCTCGCATGATCCCTGTAGCATAGATGGCACAGAAATTGAAACCAAATCAAGCATTAAATACCTTGGATTAGTTCTTTCCTCTGACCTTTCATGGTCATCCCATATCTTATCTATCTCTAAGAAAATGTTTCGCCTTACCTTCTACATTAAAAAGTTAAGACAATCAGGTATCAACCAACCTTTAGTTTTGCAATTTTTAAACTCCTGTATTTTACCTATTGTACTCTATTGCTCTCCATTAATCTTTCCTGGGCTTCTCAAAAAAGATTATATCATATTACGAAGAGTATTAAATGCTGTGAGTAGAGCTTGTGGTCTGCCACTGCATGAGCTCGCTAATACTATAGTCGAGAGGCATATAAATTCCTGTACGAAATGGGCAGAGGCTATACTGTCAGACCCTCTGCACCCCCTTTATTCACACCTGTCCCCTTGTATCTCATCAGGCAGGACAAGAAGTCAATATAAAAAGTTATATGCTCGTACCACTAAGTATAGAAATTCTACAATACCCTATTTAGTCCATACTTTATGTGACGAAGACTCTGTTAGACGTGAAACACACAAGTTACTATGTAATTAGCACACTGAATCGACCCTTTCATCGTTCATCCTTGTGTATTTTATGGTGTCACACTTTCTATCGTTTAATTGTTACTCTGCTATTTTATTTTTAGTTGGTATTACTATTATTACTACAATTTTGTACTTTATGCATATTTTTCTGCGTATGGCATACAGTATTTTGCCATGTAGCTGCTGTAACAATCGTTTTATTACTGTTATGTAATGTATATTTTTAATTTTTTGTTGTCGTTTTTGAGTAAATTAGATGCAATATTGTATTGAATGCTGAAAATTCCTTGCTGTATCATTAGTACTGTTTTTGGAATAAAGCAAAAATTATTATTATTATTATTAAGACCAAGTTTCATTTATGAACCCGATTAAAATGTGAAATATCACATAAAGAATTTCGAATATTTGCATTGCTAACTGGTACCACAGGTTGGGATTTAGTAGAGAGAATTGAATGCTTAAAGTAGTCTCGGCTTTCAGTAAGATACCTTATAAGCTTTTCCATAGATATTATAATAGTAGCGAGTGATTTATCAAGTTGTTTTTTCCAAACATCAGCTAGCAGAATCCCCTTCTGACCTACTGGAATATGCTTTGTCTTTATTCCGCCTTATCCCATCTGTTGAAATAATTCAGTCTAATCTATTCTTAAGGAGTTACCTGAATACTTATTTACATTTTTTTAAAAAAAACATTACTATAAAATGACGATTTCTATGAGAGGCATATCTGTAAAAGAATAAGAGATACTAACTCATATGAACAAGAATTAGACAGAAAACTTGTCAAACAAGCTGCTCAAAAACATGAATACTAACTCTATTAATTTACATAATTCAAACCATTTCATTTTAACTTTTCGACTCAACTGTATAAAAGATACCTGATTGTTTTTCCAGTTATCGTTCAAAACAATAACTGAGCATGATTTGCTATCTATAAGCATAGATTTCTTCATTTTTGCATAAAAATTAAGCCTGAGGTTAGAAATATGATCATCAATTGTCATCATTTGAATGACCAGGTCATTCAAAATGTATGTCTATTGTTTGTCAACTTTGTAGACGCCTGAGTTCGTATTATGATTACCATTAGAATAATTATTTTGTGCTTGTTTCACCTGTTCTACAGTAAAGATACACGAATTCAGATAATTTCGCTCACTCACTAGCATTGAACTCATAAAAATGGAACAACTTAGTAATAGAGGAGTTGTAAGCAACTGACAGTATCATAGGTGTCTGTTAGAGGCAGGAGTTACCAAAGAGTAAACTATTCTACAATTGACATTGCTAATAAAGTCAGATCTGTGCCACATTTTGGTTTCTGTTGACAAAAATCGCCAAAAATAAACCACCAGCAATTTCTGTCTGTTTCACAATCATAATCTTAGCTTCGTCAGCGTTTTTACTAACCCAAAATTTCTATAAACTCAACTATTTCAATGTTGATTTTGCTCATATTTTGGGAGACTGTAGGAAATATAACCATTCACACGTACAAGTATGACACAGAACGACTAACGCAACAAGACAGATTCAAGTATAAATTACTCAACCTATTTCTAATCGAGATATGGGGGCATGTGGATGCGTACTGTTGACGAGTCACAAACTAGTTCGAAATGGCTCTCCAGTACTCCATTGTTTTCAGTTGTTCTCTAAGTCATGTCAGTCCATGATACAGCCTGGAATATGAATAAAAATTCGAATGAACACATTTTGTAAAATTACCAATGTCTAATTATTCTACCTTATAGGAATCACACTTTTTTGCGCTTTTTATGAGTCCTGTATGGAAATTAGGAATTCAAGCTTTAGACTTTGCAGTGTTCGTAGCACTTGTGTTGTTTCCTTTTTACAGAGTGGGGTTGCTAGCGTTACATCCAACCTTCCCTCTTTTCTGGGTCGATAACCGGCTAGGCCAGGTTTAAGAGTGCACTAGCAGGACATGGAACCTAGAATCCCGCTAGAACTACGAAGTCACTGTAACTCATGGAGATTGTGAAAGAACACTTCGTCACTATTGTTTACAACAACAAAACGTGGAACTCTTTAAAAACACTATAAAGTCAGTCTTAAATTGGAAAAAACCGGTACACCATCATGTAGTCTATACCGGGAATAATCAGGCGGTATATGTATAACACATACAAAGACTCATCCAGTAAACTTGAAGATTACTCTTGTTAACTTCCAACCATTAATTTCAGAAGATAATACATAACGATAGAGTAGCTGTTTTTTGAGTGAATATTTCATATAGTAACCAGTAACTGTGAAGAGTTTGTGCCTTCAGCTGTTCCTCATTACGACTGCTTTCTGTACATGAAATAAATAGTGCTACAGTGTACTTGAAAAGAATTTTGATGTCAAGTTTTCAGATTGTTTATAATTCATACTTTAAAACACCTATTCCTAAGTATTAAGTCATATGTATTACACGGGCACGCGTAACACATTCCATGAATTCTAGAAACTCTCATACTGTAATAGTAATAGCCGAATTAAGTAGTCGAGATGAATTTCTTAGCTACCTGAGAAGTGAGTTTTGACGGCAATTAATAAACTTTTCTCCGCCACGCCTACACATGAGTCTACCAGGACATATACTGATAATTTTTTCTAAAACCTGTATAAGAAATCAAGATTATAACAACACAGCTCGGGCATTGTAATGGAGTATAGTTCCATTATATAGTAAATATTACCATAGGACACTGTGTGACTTTATCAAAATAGAATTTTGCCCATAATGGAGTTATTACAACACAACTTATGAGGGAATATAAATGGCTTTTCCACTGAGTGACACATTGGAAGGCGAAGATTCCATCAGTCGATTTATACAACAAGAAGTATCAAATGAGATCAACATTATTATTATTGCGTTCCGAGTGGAACATGGGACTTTCAGCTTGAGCGTTAAAGTTTCAGTAGCGATAGCGTTTATCTTTTTTTAAGGGGTGAGGTTGCTAGCCTCACGACCAGTCTTCACTCATCACCTGGATTACTTTCGGTCAAGCTGGGTTAAGCAGTGAGCTGACCAGTTGAACCCTGGACCATATACTTAGTGGACGTGCATTGTTACCCAGTGCGATTAACACACCGAGATAATTATCGGACTCAAATTAAAGTAGTCTGTGCAAAGTGTGACCAATGTATTTTAGAAAATGATTTAGTTACTACTTGAGGCTGATTTTTTCTATCAACTATCAGACACCCATTACACCAAAGGAAATCATATCGATTTTTCGGGTAAAGACCAATAGAAATTAAAAAAGACCTGTTTTCACTTGAAGGGATAACAATTTTCTAGTGATTTTCAGTTAGAAAACTCTGTAGTTAGAATTCATGGGCCACTGAATCGGGTCCCAGTGGCTGAATGGTATACGAGCTTGCCTTGTAACCGGAAGGTCCTGGGTTTGTGTACTGCCAGTGATTCCCAAAATAGGATGAAACAGCTGTCCCGTACTCCCTGGTTTTCAATGTTTCTCTATCTGATATCAATCCACGATCAACTCGTCAAAACAAAACCAATCCTCAAGAACCAAGTATTGAAAACATATTATTAAACTAAATAACTATTTCATGCCCACAACGTTGACTTTAATACTTTTTCTAGTCTCAGGTCTCATTGAAATCTTTTTGTCAGTACTTCACTAATCAACCAGATATGGTATACGATTAGCCTCATCGATAAAATGAATAAAATTCACGCTGTCATCAAATGGCTGTTATCACAGGCGGGAATAGCACTGTGTTATGATTTCAACAGAGGAAATCATCCATAAATTAAATATACTACTTTACATAGTACTTACTTCCTTTAGGCGGACTTGGATCCCATCCAATATCAAATATGTTCCCAACATTTGTATCGGACCAGTAGGAATCAAGTAGATTTGAATCATCTTTCGGTGAATGTTGTCCATTTAGTTTATGATTATTATTGTTCTTGTTGTTATGGTTCCTAACGCCAGTTCCAAAGTCATTACTTTTACGAACACCGGCGCGCAATTTCACCTGTGAACTGCTTTTCACTCCTGTTTCAGTTTCAGATGGTATCATTGTATCGAGGATAGGCATTTCTTTAGAAAGTTTCAAATCCTCTTCATCACTCTGCATTTTATTTAAGGCATATTCATCCAAAGTATGCGGAAGTTGGTTGTGGTTAGGCTGAGTTAATCCATGCCTTGAGTGAATTCGTCGATTCGAATTTGCTAATGCAAGTATCAAACCATGATTTGATAATATAAACAGTAGAAAAATGGAACTGGATAAATGACTGTCCATTGTGAATTGTATTCTTAAAAATATTTGACATTTAAGAACATTTTTATGAGGGAGAAAAAATGAATTGACTGGAGAACAATTTGATAGATTTGTCACTGATATAGTAGATTAATTAATTTGTGTAATTATGGGATAATATTATTCTGCAAGGGATAATATCCACTCTCAACATTAATTCAGTGTATTACTGAATTAATTAAAACATTCATTCAAAAATTGTTTTAAAACTTGTGGAATTTGTTGCTTCATTGTTATGCGTGTGTGTACAACCAGCCTATTATGAATTGATACACAATAAGTTATGTGCACAGATGTAGGCAGTTTTGTGTGTGTGTCTATATATATATATATATATATGGAAATGCATGGGTGTGTATGTGTTGCGGTAGACAGAGAGAGAGCATTTTCTTTAGTTTGTCTACGTCTGCCCCACCTCCCCCTTTGTTTTACAAAGGTGGGTGGAACACTATCTACCTAAATCTCTCTCTCTCTCTCACTAACTAGTTCAGTTAGTTTGCCAGCTAGGATGAACGAGTGACGAGTTAGAGCAAACAAATAAAAAAAAATTACGTTGGGTTCTCTTTCAGCCAATAGCATTCAAGTGTTTATATATTTACCTTGTATATACACATATATGTAAGTTATTCATACTATGTGACCCCGAAAACTGATAGTAGTAATAGTAGTAGTAGCAGTACTAAGCGAAAAGGACACTTTTTTTCGTCAAAACTTGTATTATTATTATTATTGTCATCAGAGTTATTTTAAAGGTGTTAGGGTCACTGAATATGCTTTTTTCTTTTCTCTTTCATCTGAACAGTTAACCAATAGTTGCTTAAAAAGTTATGATGGCGGCAAAGAACGGCTACCCTGATATGTATAGTAATCAAACAATAGTCACCTACATATGCTTTCAAGATTGAAAGGCGGTGGGAGGGGGCGGCGAGTATGGTGAGAATGGCAGATATATTACTTGACCAGGGTGGCTATAATTCTACTACTTTGGGTCAAATTTTTTTTATGGTGGTGAGGACATAAAGTGGGTTTCACTGGAAAATTAGGTATATTTCACTTCAAATGTTGCGCAGCAAGGCAGAAATTTGTTAGCATATGTGTGGCGTTTACAAGAAAGTACCGATACAGAAGTGTCACGGTGTAAAATGAAACGAAGATAAGACACTGAAAGCAAACAGAGTAGAGAATGGAAGACAGAAAATTAGCAGGAGTAAACTAACATAGGGAAAAATGCATTTGACAAAAATAGCATAGGCTGAAATCAACAATAAGTTATTATTATAATATTATTATTATTTCCTTTAATTCCTAGAAGAAAATAGGGCTTTAGCCCAGCGTCTCCATTGCGTTCGGTTTTCTGCCAACTTTTTCACCCCGCTCCAAGTCTGCCCACAGGCTTTCATCTCCTCTTCACGTGACCTCCTCCAAGTCACCCACCCTTGCACTGACGACCAACTCGCCTTCCGCTTCCCTTTCGGGATTCACTCAAGCAATGGCTTGTCTAGTGATGTCACTTGATGGTTTCCTCAGAGTATGACCAGCCAATCCATCTCCATTTCTTCCTGCCTATTTGTTTCACAGTCGGTTCCTGTTTGATTCGCTCAATACCAGAGATCCCTGTTGCTGATCTTTTCTAGCCGGCCATCTGATCTTGAGTATTGAGCGAAGACAACTATTAATGAAGGTCTTTAGTTTGTTTGAGGTGCTCTTTATGACGCGCCAAGTCTCTGATCCGTATGGTAGGTAGCACTGACTTCACATTGGAGTTGAAAATCCGGATCTTATTTTTGATGTTGAGTGATGTTGACCTTCCGACATACTTGAGAGAAATGAAAGCTTGTCTTGCCTTTCCGATTTTCGCATTGATATCCTCGTCAGTTCCACCCGCCTATAGTTGAAACGATGCTTCCCAGGTAGGTGAAGGAGGTTGTTTCTTTCAGATTTCTCGCCCAAATTTTTGCTGGTTGATTGTTGTCTCTTGTTGTCGTTGGCTAGGAATCTTCATCACACCTATTTTCTCTGTGTTCACCTGAAGGTTTATCTTCTCTGGATGCTTCTTGAGCCAACTTGATGCTTTTCACTTGCATATCTCCCAGTTTGTGGGAAATCAAACATATATCATCGGCGAAGTCCAGGTCCTCCAAGTTTTTCATGAGGGTCCGTTTTATGCCTGGTTCCTCGCTGCCCACAGTTTGTCGCATCATCCAATCTACTGCAATCAGGAAAATCATTGGAGATAGTCGGCAGCCTTGTCTTACTCCCGTCCTCACTTCGAAGGCTTCCGTGAGTTTCCCGTTGTGGATTACTTGGAATGCAGCATTGTCGTATAACTGTTGGATGAGGTGTATAATTGTCGATGGCACCCCGTAGTAGCGAAGTAGTTGCCAAACCACCTCTCGATAGACGCTGTCGAAGGCCTTTTCAAAGTCGATGAAGTTGAGATAGAGAGGTGACTGCCATTCTAAGCCTTGTTCAATGATGATCCGTAGAGTGGCGATTTGATCAATACATGACTTGTTTCTCCTGAATCCAGCTTGTTCCGGTCGCAGTTTTGCACCCAGGTTGGCTTGTTTAGTTCTCTCCAGGATGATGCGACTTAGTATTTTGCTTGGGATGGACAGGAGCATAATTCCGCGCCAGTTTTTGCATTGACTTAAGTCTCTTTTCTTTGGTAGTTTGAATAAGTATCCTTTCTTCCAATCCTCAGGTACTTTGCACTCTGAAATCAACAATAAGTTATCTATGCCTAATCTGCTTTATTACATTTCCAACATTTACATTCAGTGCTCTCTTGTTATCGAGAATTAAAGTCATCTGTGTAGCCTTTGTAACCATCAGTGTTCGTAGCATTGTATCATTTAGCGAAGTACAACGGTGACCACAGAAATCCTTTACTACTTCACTTCAGTATATGATGGTGGCATTACAACAATCGGAAATTTCTTAAAGTGTGTGTGTATATACAGAATGAGATGAGTAGGATACGTATCACTTATCACATACATATATCACAGAGATGAGTTGATGAGTATCGGCCCATCATTTCACATTACACCTAGTATACTTTTTACCCAAAATCATAATGAGCATTTTGCATGGGATTCCTACGTCTTATTTATGGAGACTACTCATGCTTTATTGACGAGCTGGCCTTTCTTTGATATTATGAATAACGAAAAACGATTGACGATAGAATTTGAGACAAAGGTCCTCAGACAGTCATCTCATCTGCTATGATCCCCTCTTTATTAGTTTCAGCAAACTCCATCAAACACTTTCAATTTGTTTTCAAGAAGACAGAAATTTGATGAAATGGTCGCGTTGCAGTTAACTGAGAGTTTACTGACGAGAAGAATATTCAAACCGGCAGAGTTTGTTCTTAGGGAAATAATCAATGAAGGGTAAAGTAGTGAAACATTTTTAGTTGGGGAACAAGTGCTATTTAAACTGTATATTGAAGCATTATCATTAACTAAAGGGACTACTTGAATAAAATGCTTATCATATTAAATTGTTCATCATAGTTTGCAACTGACACTTCGGGGAAACATGAGACTCTGGCAACAGGGAAATGCGTGTTAAAACATCTTTTGGGATCTGTTAGAAAAAGGGGTTGATTGATAATGCGACCCAGAAGATCACACTTATCTTTCGTACATTTTTTTTCCCTTCAAGTTCCCCACAGGAACATGGGGCTTCAAGCTCGAAGCTTGAAGTTTCTGTAGCAGTGTTTATTTTACAGGATGGGCTTGCCGGCCTCATGCCCAACTTTTCCTCTTTACCAGCGAGGTAAAGGAGTGCGTTGGCCGGGGATCGAACCCCGGACCATGTGCATGGTCGGCGAGCGTCCTGACCGCTATGCCACACACGCACAACGTGAAGGGAGTACTGGGCAGCTGTTTCGTCCCAGTGCTCCGGACTCTTCAGCAGCACACACTCACACAGCGGGGTTCGAACCCAGGACCTTCTGGCTACAAGGCGAGCTCGTATACCATTAAGCCACTGGGACCCTTTTATGCATGGTTTGTTAAAAATGCCTGAAACTAATCATTTTGAAGACGAACTCGCAATGTCATAAAATAGTCCATTGGTTATCAGAGAAACTAAACAGATTGGCTGTGCACTGACTTAAAGAAATTTGCTCAGAAACTGAGTGATCGTCTGAACACTTCCAACAAATTCTTGGTGTCTTTCGACGTATCCTCAGTATTCAATAATGTCCCACCTGAAGTTACAGTTGAGATTATTTGCAAACGATCTGAACTGCTTGGCTTACCAAGTGAATACATAATGATACTAGTGATGTTATGCACACAAAACGTACAATTTTGTTATAATAACGAATTTTTATAGTTTTCTGTAGCCTATGCTTGCTAATATACTCATAGAAAATCTAGAAACAAACAAAATGAAATCTGAAATTGACTAAATTAGTTTTTACTCAGGATGAGTGGATGATTCGTTGATGATATGCAAGGGCGTGGGTCACATTTTTTACATTTTCCCAACACCTTTGAAACAACAGTTCCACAATGGAATCTGAACACGGAGATCAATTTCACTTTCTGGTTTTATCGATGGGAAGATGAGATTAAGTTACCGCAAAGATACCCGGGTTGGACAGCATATAAAAATGCTAGTTTCTGCTCAAACACGAATTGGCTGAATAGGAGACTGTCTCAGAAAGCGCATAAACTTAGCATGAAGAGCCAGACCTACTCAGAAAACTACTGTGCCACCGACGCACACCTGATATCTATGGTCGGCCTGCAAAATTTGGGTTACCGATGTCCATGCTGAAAATTCCATACTTGCACGAAAAATACCGTGTGGAATCAAGCTGTAAATAAAAAAAAAGAAAACAATTCTCTCAAAACGGGTATCCGAAGAAATTCAAAGGACATTTCTGGAAAAATTACAGTGATGGAGACAACGTTGTTACAGTTGAGAAGATGTCCGTATTCATCCACCTTACCTTGGAAGGAGTGGGGTATCATATAGTATATAAAAGAGACTTAGAGTTCAACTTGCTGGAATGTATCGGACAGGTAAACTTGTTCCTGTTAACAGTGCTTATTCTTATTTCATTGAAGAGAAGCGTTGAAATAAAATGTACACATTTTATATTAGGAATTTCATTCTTCTTCCTTTGACGAATATGATCAAGCGAAAACATTGTGTGATTGAAAAAGGATTTTAATGTTCAGTGAAGTGTAAAACAGATTATGAATGTATTCCTGTCATTACGATCGACTCTGGTCCATGTCATTTATAGTTTCGGGATG